GAGAGAGAGAGAGAGAGAGAGAGAGAGAGAGAGAGAGAGAGAAACCAGACAGGCTGAGAGAACCAGACAGGCTGAGAGAACCAGACAGAGGCAGAGACAACCAGACTGAGGCAGAGAAAGACAGACAGAGAGAGACATACAGACAGAGATAGATATTCCAAACGAATCAGACTAAACCTTACAAAACTACAAAACACTAAACCTCAAGAGAAAAACCCACCATCGCATAGTCACGTGGGGCGACTCATAGACACCTGGATTGCCTGAGTGAAGGTTGGTCATGGAGTCAACATGAGCCAGGCTGGCAACAGCCTCAACATGGGGCAAGATGCAGGTGGAGATCATGAGGGCCAGGAGGTGTACAGCCACCAGGAGTGTGGTGCACACAGAGAACGCAATGAGGAGCTGATCAGGGATCTTGCTGCAGTCAGCCGCGCAGTTAGTGTCACAACCCTTCTCACATTTCTTCATTAGCTGCACCTCTACCATAGCCACCTGATTAAAATAAAAAAGGATATATACAGTAATACATAAAAAGGGAAATAATTACATTAACCACATAAGTCCTATTCACTCCAATTGCAGAACTTCACAAAATATTGCCACCATAACTTTAGTCCATGAAATATTGAAACATGCCATTGAAATAGTAATTTTGGTATTACACATCATATTTTATCCAAACAAACTCTTGACTACTTTTCTCTTCCTACATTCACTATCATCATCAGGGAGCAAACACCGACAGGGGCACATTACCCTCATGGATCCCTTATGGCAAGCCACTAGGTAAGGACTCTGCCTAACTCAAGGTCCTCACATCAGGTTTGATTGATCTGCCTTAGACACAACTTCTTAGGTCGTCCCACAGGCCTTCTCCACCCAGGGTTGTCTCATAAGAGACAACCTGGTGGGTAGGATCATCCTGTGGGAAGTGAGCCAGGTGGTTGTATAGCCAGAGTTGGCAATCACAGATTGTGCAAGTAACAGATCCTGTGCCAGTCACACACACTCACAGTGCAACTGTTGGTTGGACACATGGTCCCGCCAACAGTATCCTATGATCTGGGACAACGACCTATTACAAAAAGCATCAAGACAAGACTCCAAGGAGCAAGACAACATCCAGGTTTCACTACTGTATAGTATAACTGGCATTATTAGGGCCTTAAAGACATATAGCTTGGTCCTTCAGCATAGGTACCGGCATCTCCAAATACTCTTGTTGAGAGAGTTCAGACCCCTGCTGCCAGGCCAATCCATATGCAGACTTCCTGCTCTGACAGCCCTGAGTTATGAACTACACTACCAAGGTATGTAAAGCTCTTTGACTCCAATGTCCTCGCCACAAGCACGTACCGACAAAGCAAGTTCTCCTAGCAAGTCCCCAAAGTCCTGGATCTTGGTCATGGTCCAGGAGACTTCTAGACCCAAGGGCTTTGCTTCATTGTTAAGTGCATCCAGAGGTACCAATAACATTTCCAAAGAATCAGTTAGAATGGCAAATCATCAGCAAAGTCAAAGTCAGTAACCTTGATATTGCCCAGAGTTGCTCCACAATGGCTTTGAACAATAGATCTGCCCAGTATCCAGTCCATGCTAGTGTTGAAAAGTGTTAGTGTAGGTACACAGCCTTGCCTCACTCCTTAACTAACAGGAAAGAAGCTCAAAAGGCCCCTCCCCACACACACTTTACAGCAATTTCAGTAACCAGTACTTAGTCCAATAATCCTTGTTGGAATTCCTCTCAATCTCAGGATCTCCCAGAGTGATTCCCAATGCACTGTATCAAAAGCTTTCTTGAGGTCGATGTAGGCTGCAAGCAGACCACGTCCAAACTCATGTCAGCGCTCTACAATGACTCGAAGTGCCAGGATATGGTCTACTGCGGACTTACCAGGAGTGAGCCAGATTGCTCCAGCCTCTGGTGCCTCAGTAAGTGGTCTCTGATACATCTTGGAAAGATGTAGGAGAGAACCGTGCCTGGTATACTGAGCAGTGTGATGCTTCGGTGATTGTTGCAGTCTCATCAATCCCCCTTCCCTTTCCAAAGAGGGATGACCACACCCCTCAACAGGTCAGGGGGAATGCTAACGTACAGCCAGATGGCAGCCAGGACAGCATGCAACCCCCGTGCCATAGGTTCACCACCAGCCTTTAACAGTTCAGTTGGGATGCCACATATACCTGCTGCTTTACCACTCCTCAGCTTGGAGATCATCCCCCTAACTTCAATTTGGGAGGGTGGCTCCTCACTGACAGGTGGGTCTGAAATCTCAGCACTACCCGCATCCAAGTTAACCTTTGGTGCATCAACCTGGAACAAGTGCTCAAATACTCAGCCCAATGCTCCCCCACCACAACAGGATTTGAGACAATCTGGCCACTTGCTGAACAGACTGCAGTCACCTGTGAAGAGGGCTTGGAGTTCAGGTTTCTCAGGGCTTGGTATGCAGGACAAAGGTCATTTACTATGAAATGGCCTTCTACCTACTCTGCAAGACTCCTAATAAAATGTTTCTTGTCCCTTCTCAACAGTGACCAAGTTCTGGTCTCCTGCAAGATAAAATTCTGTATTGCTCTTGGGCATTCACCAATCAATTCTTAAGTTACATCAAGCATTTGACACTTGAAGGTGTCCCACAGAAGTACAGGGTCCATCAGATTGTCAAGCACTATGAAACAACCAAAAATTGCTTCAGTAAACCCCTCAGTAAATGGCAAAGTCAAGGTCAGTAACTTTGATATTGCCCAGTGTTGCTCTACATTGGCTTTGGATTATAGCTCTGCCCATTATCCAGTTCATGCAAGTGTTGAAAAGTGTTGGTGTAAAGAGACAGCCTTGCCCCCCTCCTGAGTTAACAGGGAAGAAGCTCGACAGGCCCCAAACACACTCTACAGCACTTTCAGTACCAGTATATAAGCTTGCTATTAAACCAAAAATCCATGTCAGAATCCCCCTAAGTCTCAGGATCTCCCATAGCAATTTGCACTGCACCAAGTCAAACTCCTTGAGATCAATGTAGGCTGCAAGCAGCCCACAGCCGAATTCATGATGGCATTCCACAATGACTCAAAGCATTAGGATACAGTCTATTGTGGACTTACCGGGAATGAATCCCGACTGTTCTGGTCTTTGGCGCCTTAGTAACTGGTCACAGATCCATTTCAGAACATGGGTGTAAATCTTGCCTGGCATACTGAGCAGTGTTATACCATGGTAACTGCTACAGTCCCAACAATCCCCTTTCCCCTTCCAGAGAGGAATGACCACGCCCCTCACCAGGGGAATGGGACCGGATTGCCAGATGGCAGACAGGACATTATGCAAGTCCCTTGCCATAGTATACCCCTAGCCTGTAGTTCAGCAGGGATATCACATAGGCTCGCAGCTTTCCCACCCTTCAGATTAGAGATCACCTCCCTTACCTCAGTCAGGGTAAGAGGTTCCTCACTGATGGGTGGGTCAGGCATTAGGATAGTGATACCACTAGCATCCAGACTAACTACTAGAAGGTCTTAACTGATACATTTGCTCTTAATACTCATCCCAACATTCACAAACCCCAACATGAACTGAGATGAGTTCTGTCCATTCATTGAGTGGACTGGACTTATTTTACAAGGAGGTCTTGTGGTTCAGTTTTCTTGGGGTTTGGTAAGCAAGACAAAAGTCATGGAAATGCCCTTCAACTTCCTCAGCAAGATTCCTGATAAATTGTTCCTTATCCCTTCTCAGCAGTGTCCAAGCCCTACACACCAAAGAACAGCACAAATCCCCGTTACCATTTACTTAAGGCATGCGACGTGCATCTGTGGTCTTCATAGATGCAAAACTACATGTCACTCCTAGGGTAAAGGCTGTGAATAAAATGAAAGAGCCCAGGCATTGGATTAAAGCATAAGTAACTTCTTAAATAACCACAACAACAATTGCAATGTTATATACAGCCTGATACAAAGGTGAACAATGATTACAAACTAATCAAAATAAAAATTGGGGCTCTAGCATTGAATTGCACCACATCACCTGCAATACCAGCCATCACAATGGGATCTCACAATGCACTCATAACATTCTTAGAGATATTGAAATACACTAAATCCAGTATTAGTTGAAATATCTACAATGATGACCCTGGAATGATTCAAATACATTATGAATTGCTTTCAAAGCCCATTAACTGAAGGAGAAGTACTCTCACTGCTCTGAATCCAGGCCTGCATGCTTTGCACAGTAACTATAATTAGATATGCCACCTCAAACAATCATATCCCCATAGGTCAACAGGAAGAACATCTCACAGTACACTGCTTTGTCCTGACTAGATAACGGCAGACACAATGTGTCTCACTTATTCGCTGCCAACTGTCCCCCAATATCCTGGTACACCACATCACCTGTGGCAAACAGCCACCACACTAGGATTTCAATCCCCACTCATAACCTTACTATAGATATAGACACAAAACCTTCTAGTTGAAATATTAACAAAAGAATAATATTAGAAACTAATGTGTACATGATGTTTTGTGAGGCTCTATGTGACAAACTGTTCTAAATGGCACCCAGCATTTTTTAAAGTTTTGCTTGGTTTACTTGAAAACATTTTACAATCTAAATATAGTTGTTATGGTAAATAATACAAAAATGTACTACTATTTTGCCTACACTTCATTTCCTTCAGGAATGAAATTGGCTGAAATGTTTAAGTTTGTCCACAACTAAAGGCACAGTCATTATTTCATGTTCTCAAAAATTCATCTATAAACTCAACCAATTTTCCATGAAATACCAAAATGTGTTTCTTTACTATATCAATAAGTCCACCTACTCATTGGTTGCCATAGTCCTATGCACTTTGTTATCAAGCATGAGCTGGTTGCACAAGCCAAACTGACTAGTTTGGTGTTTTCAACATTATTGATTCTTTGCTAATACTCTTGATATTTTCCATGCCATGGTACTATGTCAATGGGTTAATAAGACAAATGAATTTTTGTGTTGGGTAGACTACAGCCACTATATGTACATTCAGCACTTGGTCCAGGCCTTATTTTCAGCAATAATTAATAATCAATAATTGTTTTTTTCTGTGTTTTTTAGGAAAAAATGCATCTTATTGGCTGCAAGAGGAACAAAGAAGGGGAGAACAAGAAAACACCCGAATATACCAAAGGCCTATTCGCTAATGCTTTGTCAGGGCATGCATGACAAGAAGTACATAAAGGAGTATATATGCTACAGTTAGGTGGTCAGGTCACGTCGATGATCAAGTGAGTGACGACCTTGCATAGTTCCTGGCTCCCTGCAGTGGTGTTGATGTTGTTTGTTGTTTGAATGAACGCCGCTTCTGTCATCTTTCTTTGTCGTGGAGGCAGGCCTTGTTTTATGATGGAGGCCTGGGACCACTTTGGGAGGTGACCATCTGTGTCTACGTGAACAACGAAGGCGCTTCTCGTGTCATGGCGTTGGAAAGCGCTGTGGTGTTGGCTGATTTCTTGTGTGTGCAGTCCTCGTGCTGTCTGACCTATATAGATTCCTGATATATATGTACACCTGGCTGAGGGGTCTATTGTGGTTTGACCTCTTTTCTCTTACAATGTCAGTCTGCATTGGTAGTTCCCCCTCGTCCATTCTTACCAACGCTCTTTTGCAGCTTCAATGGCCCCGTCAATTGGTACATTCATAAACAGTGACTTGACAAGCTTTTTACACTTCATGCCGATTCTTTGCAGTTTGGCCATCGAAGCTGCAAAACAAGCGTTGGTAAGAATGGATGAGGGGGAACTACCACTGCAGACAGACGATTACATCAAACTCATCTGTCTCTGCATGGAGTTCGGCCAATTTGAATTCAGAGTATGCAAGTATGAACAGATCCAGGGACATGCGATGCATTCACCGCTTTCAGCAGTCCTTGCCCAGCTATTCATGGAAACCTTGAGGCTGACCACTACCGAAACATTGTGGGGAGAAATGTGGTCTGGCTCTGCTACGTGGACGACATCCTAGCTATAGTGCTGACCAGGATGAACCTGCCAGATCTAATCCACAGACTTAATGCAGTACACCCCTCCATACAGTTCACCACAGAAGAAAGAAATGAACAACTCCCTTTCCTAGACACCGTGATCCACTGAAGACCAGGTGGTCCAAGATTCTCCGTTTACAGAAAACTCATCAATAACGATGATTTCATTCATTATTTCTCTGCCCATAGCAAGAGGACCAAAGAAGGCGTGGTCATTGGCTTCTTCCTCCAAGCCTCCTGAATATGCAACCCTGAGTTCCTGGAGGAAGAAATGCAACACGTCTGTAACGCCTTCCATCACCTCCATTATCCTCGCTCCATGCTAACCCACCTCCGTTGCAAGGCCGAGATCATGAGCAGACTGAGAGGAGACGACACGCAAAACAAGACTCAAAGAATAATCATCCCTCCCTTGGAATTGACTGAACACCTGGAGGCCCTAGTGGGCCACACTATAATGATAGTTACATTTTCCGGCAAGAAGATCGGAGACATCGTAAGAGAAAAGAGGTCAAACCACAATAGACCCCTCAGCCAGATGTACAGCATACCTTGTGGTGGGTGTGATAGAGTCTACATAGGTCAGACAGCACGAGGACTGCACGAACAAGGAATCAGCCAACACCACACCACTCTCCAACGCCATGACAAGAGAAGCGGCTTCATTGTTCACGTAGACACAGATGGTCACCTCCCAAAGTGGTCCCAGGCCTCCATCATAAAACAAGGCCTGCCTCCACAACAAAGGAAGATGACAGAAGCAGTGTTCATTGACACAACAAACAACATCAACACCGCTACAGGGAGCCAGGAATTATGCAAGGTCGTCACTCACCTGATCACCGACGTGACATGACCAAATAACTTTAGCATAAATACTCCTCTATGTACTTCTTGTCATGCATGCCCTGACAAAGCATTAGTGAAAAGGCCTTCGGCATATTCGGGTGTTTTCTTGTTCTTCCCTTTGTTGTTCCTGCTGCAATCTTATTGGCTCATAACTATAACTTCCTATGAGATATCTTTATCCTTTTTGGAAGGAAAAACATATACAAAGGACTTCATCTACATACATAAATCAAAAGGGAATACCATACAAATAACAAATACCACTCAGTTATAGGCAAGGAATGCTTGGAATGTGATAATCTCTTCATCAACATCTGAAAGTCTAAAATAACCTGACTAACACCAAAAAATGTGTGAATATTGGAGGAGAAAAAAAGAAAATCAGAATTAAGGAATGTAATGTTGCTAGACTCACCATGGCAAAGCCTGAGAGAAGTGCAGATGTCTTACTAGAAGCCTTGAGCTTCGCCCGACTTAGGTGTAATTGCCGTAGCATGTGTAACCCCATTGCATTTGTTGTTGATGGCACCAGGCGCATGGAGATCTGTGGGAAACAACACATTACACAGATGTAAATAGTAACTTCTACTATTTTTTTCTTGTTTCTTAAGTAAAC